GTTGTCACATAGCGAGCTCTGTCTGACTCTGCCACTCCGTCTATCTTCCTCTGGATTCCATCATCAGCTACAGAGCTCAAAAACGTCTGCACCTCATCACTGGACCATGGTGTTGGTTCCCATGCAGTAGTTTTTCTCATTACCAGAGTTTAAAAATGGCAAGTTGCTCTCATGGCTAATCGGTGCATGGAATTAGTTGACATCACATTTTCAACTTAGCTCGCTTTGAATCCTGGCCAAGGTGTTCTATCCTTTAGATCGCTACCCACAGCTCATGCAGAGGGAAAGAGCACACATCTACCAGTAACATCACTGGTGCATGTTAAAATGTTTATGTGGCACAGACATGCCTTTTATTAAAAAGCTGAACATGTCGTACAGAGGAGCTTAGTGAGAGTGATGTCAATGTCACAAGACTGTGATGAGGTGTGTTCATCGAAGCCTAATGCAGCCTTCTCCAAACTTCAGGCAGCTGCAGCTTAGCTTGATATCTGAAAATCTCTGTTTTGTCGTTTCCTGCTGTTGACATGTTACAAGATAGGAGTTCAGGATAGAAAATAAATAAATAAATGCAATTCTTCACATTAAAAGCCAGTTCTATTTTGTGTTTACTTTAGTTGCATCAGTTGCAAGTCTGAAACAAATCAATCGAACTTGTTTCTTTCACGCCCACCTGTTTGTTGGCCAGCACCATTAAAGGCAGGCTCGGTCGAGAGGCTAGCAGCTCGTGTAGGTGTTTCTTCGCCACTGGAAAGAGCTGCGGGTTGGACGAGTCGACTACAAACACCAGCAGCAGTGCTTTAGGGATGTATTTCTGCCAATATGGCCGCAGATCCTCTTTACCTCCAACTGTCAAAAGAGAGAGACAACACACACTGTTCAAATACGACTCCCGTGTTTATTTCTGTTACATTTTGTGCATTAGACAGCAACACATATGTGATTTTCAACTGGCTCATATGAGACAGTATGGATCAGAGCATACTAAAGATGGGCTCAGGCTTACTTTCCAGAAACTCGATATAGCAGTCATCTTTGTTGATGGAGACGGCGTTGAAGCCCTGTGTCGGCTGTATGTCCTGCTCCAGGCGGCCGGTGGACAAAGACTGCAGCAGGCTGGTCTTTCCGGATCCATCGAGACCCAGAACCAGAACCTGTGTTCCCTCTGACTCCACAGGTTGGGACTGGAACACAGACCACACTGGATCAGAGCCTGATATTCACACCAATATTAAAAAGGATTATTTCCTCTATGCTGTCATTGCTTCAGGAAATGTAAATGTAAAAATTGAGTTTTAATTTAAAAAATGATTTAAGTCAAAAAAAGATGTTTAATTATTATCTTAAGAAGAAAATCAGATATTAGCTGACAGAACTGATATTGCAGGTTAGTAATTAAAAATAAATATCAGGCTAGAAGTACTTTAGACAGTTTCTCAAACTCAAAGAAACGCCAAAATGTATGTAATTCTTTAGAAAAATATTATTTAGGAACAGCTAATATTGATAATATATACCAAACAACTGTCTTAATGTTTCAGATTTTGATTAGCATTTTAAAATACTGTGAATAGGTCTAATATACGACATAGTGTAGAACTGTGCAGAAATAAGCAGTTTTTCCTGTTTCTCATGTTAAATCTTGGAAGGAAGGTCCTTTTTACTCTTTATTCATAATCATGCCAAATAGTGTCTCTTAACTTGTTCCAGGCCGAGTTATCATAGTTTTGTATTTTCTTGATTAGTTTTTATATTTGTTTCACTTTGACTTTTGTTTTTATTTCAGTTTAGTTTCAGTTAATTCCCAGAGTGTGTTTGTTCGTTTTAGTTTATTTTTATTGTCTGAAAAATGATTAGTTTTAGTTTAGTTTTTGTAAGTTTCAGGGCCAGAGTTTTAGTCTTTTAAAGTATTATTGTATTTGGGGTACATGCCAGATGCAGGATTTAGGAAATTCACTATAGATGTTACAATGTAATCACAGAACTTTTTGAAAGCAGTTGATTCCAGTCTTGTAGATGTGATAAGTCTAATCAGACAGTTTGCGATAGCAGATTTTTTTTTTAAACCAAAACAACAAAACTTAACACATTTAATTGGTCTTTTTTTAAAAGAACAAACAAAAAAAAACTTAGTTTTTCAAATTTTGTTCTTATTATTTTTATATTCGTTAAATACAATTAGACAGATTTTTTTTTAGTTAACTATAATAAACTTCCGTCCAGTAGGTCGAGCTCAGACATTGTTTTAGTTTAGTTAGTAAAATGTAATATGCACTAATAATAATAACCTAAAAGAAAAAAAATCTCTTTTTTGGTTTACACATCCCATATTTTATTTTAGATATTTCAAAATGTCCATTTTCTCAGTGAATTTTTTTTTTAAAATTTTGTATTTATTTAATTATTTTATTTAATAACTTCTCTTGGAATGTAAATAAAAAAAATAAATGAATTAATATATAAAATGTGCGGATTAATCCAGCCGGTGCCTCACTAAACTGTCCCGAAAACCGCCTTTGAGTTGAATGGAACAGCCTACATTTCCCAGAACACCACGCGGGAACCCCAAAGAACGTGCCTATGCATTTGCCACTGAAAGATGTACAACTTTACGCAACATGTAAAATAAGTTATTTTACCGAAACGCTTTTTCGTCTCGTCTTAAGTGTAAAACCCGGGGGGCGCTGGGGTGAAGGCACAGATGTAGTGTTTTAGGAGCAGCAGTCTGAACATTTCCACACAGGTGTGTCCGGTGAACGTGCCTCGTTACCTGCGATGTGTTCCGAGCTTCAGCAGCTGCTACAGGTTCAACCACGGCCGTTGTTGGCTCAGCAAACTGTGTCTGCTGCTGCTGAGCTTTAATCACCGGAGTCTCTTCCTCTCTTATTTCATCCTTCTCTCCTTCCCTCTGCTCTCTGTCACTTTCACCGACCTCTCCCAGGCGTGTTTCGGGCTTCTCCTCCCCGGAGGAGGACGCATAGTTCCAGATAAGATAAGCGACTCCTCCCGCCACAGCGACGGAGGCGCCGAGGACAGCAGCTCTGCTCAAACTCGACATGGTGCTCAAGTGCCGGCTTTGCTGCTCTGTCTGGGCGCCGTTTAACCGTTTGCCTGCGACATGATTGGAGTTCTGGTGAAAATGTAAGTCCGTAAGCAATTCCCCGCCCCTCTCCTCTGCTGAACAAGTGGATTAACAGACAGGAAGCTCCGGAGGAACTTCTCAAAACGATATTTCCGGATAAAGTGCGCGGAGGTGTTGATGCAGTTCTGAGACCGGCCGCCAGATGGCGGAAAATAATCTTGAAATGTTTTAATGCAACCATTTCTTTAACGCTGTTATTCGCACTCTGACCGCTAGGGTGTCCAACTACTGTATAATACACTTGCATTTAAAATATATAAATTACTAGTAGCCAATATAAAGTTTAAATTTTAAGAACAATTACTGCAGTAAAAAAAGCGGTAACTGTTCTAATTATCCTGCTTAGTCAAAAAAGTATAATTTTTATTTAATTTGCGATATTTGATGGTTTTATATATTTTTATTTTTACCCCATATTTTTTTCATTGTTTTGTCATTATTCCATGTTATTTTTATTGATCACTTATTTGAGCTAAGTGCTAATATTTAACTGTAATTTTACCCAATGTCACAACTTCTTTATTTTTAATGTTGGAAGAAGTAAATATTTATTTTCAAAAATAAAAAAAATTGTGAAAATGTTAAAGGAGGGATAGCAAGCTGGGGATCAAATTGGCCACAAAAGGGTTCAATCCAAACCGCTAGGTGGCTTTAACCCAAGTGTCATTAATAAAATGAACTACTGTTCCTGCAGTGGAGATACCTGAACTCGTACACAAGAAAGAAAACTGAAATTAAAATGTTTAACATTTTAATTGCTTGAATAACAATGCATACATAAAATGCTTCCCTTCTTATTTAACATCTAAGCATTTTGTGATTTAAAGACTAGGATCAATACATTTTAATTAAATATATATATTAAAAAAAACCCTCTTAGCCACCCCCCTTTCTTTTGCAAATGGATAGGGCATTAGATGTGTTCTCAGAATTTATTTTATATTGTTTTTGTTATACAAATCAAAGGAGAAAACTCCAGAGGTAATTCAGACTTTATATTAAATCAAACGTAGTCCTTAAAAATTTAAATAAATCTCGCTTAGTAACACAAAGACAGGCTAAATCAAATAGATAAGACAAAATTTGTTTATTTTACAATTCTTATAGCCTAATTTTAACTATGATAAAAGTTTCCTCCTCATTTATTTTTCCCCCATTGCAAAGGTGGTACCTATTATATAACTCTTTCTTTCTATTTCCACCCATCGTATTAAAATACACTTGGGGGATTTCAGAGGCTTTAAAGCATGTAAGTGATTCATTAAGGATTACAAAAGGATTCAGACCTGCAACAGTTTATCATGAAATTAACACGAAACACAGTTAACTGGTTTCTAATTTTAGATTCAAAAATGTATAGAAAAATTATTTTAGATATATTGAAGCCTTTCAAATTATGATTTTTTTTTAGCTATGACAAAAACATTTATTTATAGTTTCTTAACTTATTCCAGTTGAACAGTGACAAACACAGTAAATTAAATTATTTTAATGATCTTCTCTCCTCCTCCTTCACATCCTGTAGGGCTCCGCCTGGTTGGTCCTCCTCACTGGCACCCCGTCCTCCAGCTCAGGAGCACTCAGGAGCCAGGGTGGCATGTTGCTGTCCTCCTGTTTCACCCCGAGGTTCTTCCAGGTCCGGGCCCGGAGAGAAGGTGGTCTTTTTTTCTGTGGGACCCGCTGGACCTGCTCAGGCCCCAAACTGGATGAGTCCGCTGGCTCACCCTGCCGGTGCCTCCTGGACTTGGGCGCCTTCTGAACATTGCTGTAGCTCTTCTGCTTGATGGAGGACAGAAGCCTCGCTCTTTTGCTGCAGGACTCCTTCTCATCTTCTTCTTCTTCTTCTTCCTCCTCCTCTTCTTCTTCTTCATCATCTCTTTCCTTCTTGTCTTTGAGTAGCTGTGAGGTGAAAGTTTTGTTCTGCCAGGTGATGAACTCTGACATGCAGTCTCTCAGGCGTGAGGTGAAGTCTCTGTGGGTCATGGTGATCTGGGAACCCACATCCTTGGTGGTCTCCTTCAGCTTCTCGTACAGGCTCTGGAGGTTGGCCATCTCTTCCAGGGTGTCTGCACTGATGAGCTCACGCACCGCAGTTGTCCTGCTCAGAAACTCAGGGCACACATGCTCCTTCTTTGGCTTCTGCTGCTTCTGGAAGGTCAGAAAATGCGGCATGGCTGTGTAGTGGATGGCTTTGGATGCCACAAGCTTCCTGTAGATATAAACTACATCAAGATGGCCGGATTCTACAGATTCCTTGAGGAAGGCTTGCACGTGGGTCCAGTCCTTCAGAGCGAGCCGGATCATCACAGGTGGTTCAGCGAGCTGCGTGTGGTAGAAACCAAACATCAGGTACAAGCCCCCCACTCGGATCTGGTAGCTGTATGGAGGTAGGAAGTACTTTACAGCTGTGGCCAGAGTCACCCTGCAGAACCGCTTTAGTTCACCCGCGTTGATGGTGCCAATGAAGAGATCGGAGAAGCCCATCTCCCTCCAGAGGGCTGAAAAATCCTCATACCTGACTGAGTCTATCTGCTGGAAGCGTCCCAGTAGCTCCTCCACATCTTCAGTCAGAGGGCCGTAGAAGAAGTCTGAGTAAACACACGGCAAACGAGGCATCGTTTCATCCAAAACCCACAGAGAATCACTCAGGCTGGCTGCTCCACAAGTGAGCTGTGGTCAAAGCAGGTGTA